ATATATATATATATATATATATATATATATATATATATATATATATATATGTAGCATCGCTTATTACATAGACTCTCTCGTTTTCTATGTTTGTATATATCGAACAATTTCGGGTGCTTCGTTATTCTTATTTATTTACTTAATTAGACCGTATTATTTATATACTACGTTTAGATGTTGATCGATCGTTCGAGTGGAGATCAAGAATTACGTAAAAGTCTATGTTTTTAGACGTACTTTTCTAAGAGGATTTTACGCGCGGTTTTTAGCGAAAAAAAAAAAAGAAAAATAAAAAAAATAAAATATTTACTTAATCATAAGACATAATAACGCGTAAGTATTTTATACTGGTTTGTATATATATATAATGTAAAAGGAGGAGAAGGATAAGGATGAGTGTTGTGCGCGTGTATCTGGTATGCATGTATGGTGTATATAATAATTTTTGTATCTTTCAAGATAATGCCTCGAAATCATGCCTCGAATTATCACGAGGCGCTTACCCGAAAATCCTGTAATTCTAATGATAGAAGTAACGATTATCCGCAACATATAACCTAACCGCATAATTGTACCTATTCTAAATGTTAAACACACGCGCAGATTCCGCAACGTGAGCTTAATTTTAATATCATAGTAATCTCTTTACTGTCAGTATTACGATACACTAGTGTACTTGTTTCGCGAGAATATGCCTGGACGATTGATCCACACGCGTCACGGGCAATTGTTGCGAGCCGAGTATAAGCAGAGTATATATAGACGTTAGGAGGTATACTTGTTTGTTTAGCGATATACGAAATGACACAAAATGACACAACTATCCTTTAATCGTTCGTTGTCACGTTTCTTTTTTTTTCTTTCTTTCTTTCTTTCTGTCTCTTTCTCTCTCCGTCGCCTCCGTTAAAAGATAAAAGACAATCGTTCTTAGGATTTTTTAGGAAAGAACAATATGGTGAAAAAAATGTGTATGTAAGTATATATGTGTATGGCATCTCGTTTCCGTTTGATTGATCGCACGCACACACACACACACACACACACACACTCTGAACAGGATCGACATACGATACAAGGCTCTATCCACGTACCAAATATCAATAGTCCGTTTCTCTTCGCATCTTGTTTTGATTGGAGAACAAACGGAAATTGTTGTCCGAGAATTCGATAATAAACAGAGAGTGTTTATATTTCCAGAAATCGTGGTTGAAAAATTGTCACTTTTTTTCTTATTAAACGAGATTGCGTTTCGCAAATTTGACGAGAACACTGCCATCTTTAATCGTTGAACAACAACGACAACGACGACGACGACGACGATGAGGATAAAAGAATAATCGTCGTATAATTGTTGTTTTCTATAATAGAAAATGTTAAATGTGAATGAAAAATCCTTTAAAAATGAAAAAAAAGACACGATGTATCAACAAGATAAATGTTGCATTTATATTTTCCATTTATAATATAATTAAATTACATAGGCACTTGTACATAATACGATTAATTTCACTTAAGCGTACGATATATCATCTTGTACGAAAAATAGGTCTGTTATGTAAAATAATAAGTATAAGACATGAACCTTTTAGATTTTTGAATAGGAAAAATTGCACTTCTGACACAGTACAAACTGGGAAAAATTCGTTTAATCGACGACAACGTTGTCTTCTCTCGTTTGCTTCGTATTACGAATTTAAGATTCGATTCGATATATACAGATGAGGAAAGAACCGAGAATAATCTCAAACTCGTAATTCTTTTTTTTTTTTTTTTTCCAATTTTTATGTACATAAATGGAACAGATTAAAAATACACAACCGCGGTTTTTTAATAAAAATTGTTTTGATACGAGTATAAATCGATCGGAACATTCTACTTAAGAAATCAAACAGATTCACCTATTCTTCTGAAGAACGGTTTTTATATTACATAGCACCAATAACGTGGAAGAAACGAGAGTTACAACGGCGAGGTAAACCTTTACTCTCT